TTCGGAAGGCATGAGGTGAAGATTTATTTATACCAACTCAAATGGTACGTTATAAATTAAGGCTATAATCTGGTAATGGCGAATTTTTCATGACAGAATGAAATTAGAGAAATTTTCTGTAACCAAAGAGTCTCAATTTAAAATGAATATTACAATTATTTCTGATTAGTTTCCAATATTAATAACTCTTCGCGATACCGTTATACTGTTAATATTAGGACGTCATTATTTATATGGCTTTGCTTGGACGATGAAGAACTCACCTCTACGTTTCTGTTTAATCCAGCAATTTGTATTGTTTCGTAACTTTATCCCAGTCATCCGAATCGCGTCCAATATTGAGGGGGTTTCGAAGGAGGTATTCCGGTTTCTATTTTCTAGCAAACACTTCATATAGTAGATAGCGAGAAATTAAGCTCATTAACGAGTATATTGCTTCTTTGTTTACTTTTCGCGGTTGATGACGTGCTGTCGCTGTTGTGTTTGCTGGTGGACGGCAATGTTCATAAATAAAGTTCCTCGTCGATCCGGTGACATCAATAAACAACAACATGAGTTGATTTAATTTTATTAACAAGGTGGACCAAATCAAATGTTGCGTCCGAGCTTAAATTAGCGATTGTTATACTTTCATAAATAATAACAAAGACGCTCAAGATGTGCTTTAATGTGTTTGAAATAATCTTTGTTTATCGTCAAAAGGAAAGAATTCAGAGGTAAGTCAAACGGTTTTGGTCTAGACTTTTAACAAATCAAGCCTACGTTTATGAGCGCATGAGATTACTATAAAAGCATCATTCATACCTAACAATCATCAATTTAAATTGATCATAAAATCAATCGTAAAAGCCACTTTATCATTTTTGACTTAAACAAATTGAAAAATGTCCACTTTCACCAACGAATTCTATTGTGGAGTACTTATCGGAGTTCTCCTCGGCTTCATGCTTTATTATACACTTCATCAAAAATAAACTTCACGACATAAATCAAAAAATTAATAAAATGTTCAATTTAATCGAGCCTGAAAAAAAAGGCACAATAACAATAATGAATCAAATAAACCATTTGGCGAATAAAGTTACTTACCAGGCGTCGAGAAACTGTGAAATAACTTTAAAAACTTGTTTGACAAAAAGCCGAGCTAAATCCGAAATTTTTATTTAACCAAATAGCGCTTGAAATTTACAAGTTGCTCAATAAACAAAAAGCCATCGCTGCACAACAATAAAAAGATTTTTATCTTCGACGAATAACCCCACGGAAAAAAACCATTGAGGCAATTCAACGTTGGATTGACGAAGAAAAGAGGAAAACGTAAACTACTCAGATGGGGAAAAGAAAATGAAAAAATAGATAATAATGATAATATTCTTAATTAATAATAGCGATAGTAAAGAAGATAATGAAATTTAAATTTGCACTAGAGTGACCAAAGAATAGGAGATACTCACAAATGGCTTTGGGTCCGAGTATTTTTCTCCCATGCAATCACTCTGGTGCTTTTACTATTATTTATATTTCAAAGAGCACGCATTCGATAATCGAATAATAAATTTATGCTTACGCAGAAATTAAATTATTTTTACGTTGTTTGCCACTTCTAATTTTCGTTTTTTTTCTTGGTTTATCATAAGTTGGGTTAATGTTCGTTTATGGTTTATTATTTTTGCTCTTCTTGGTAAATTTCGTAAGTGATTTTTTCTTTATCTAGAGAATTTTGGTGTCATTTATCTTAAAAATAGATGAGCAATTTTTTATTTTTGTTTCTTTTTTAAAATACTTCTAATGTTGCTGTAATTTTTGGGTTCCATAGTTGACTTAATGTAAATTAGTTTTATATTTATATTTTTTATATAGGGATATCCTACTACTACATTAGGCATGTTATGGTTTATATTCATCACATTCTGGTATAATAAAGTGAGCATTAAAATTAAGTTATGAATAAACACCATTATAACGTTATCAGTCACCCTGGTCAATTTTACAACCACATCATAATCAGCTTCTCGTTTATAAAATGTTCACTTTGTCTGGTTTTGTTGCAGCATGCCCATATTATACCCACTTCTTAAGCTTTCTTTAAATACGTCTAATACTAATGGTACTGTTCTTTGGTTTCATATTCATATAGAAGATAGTAATAGGCTTATATTAATATTAATATACAATATATTAATATTACTATTATATAATGATAACTGCCAGTGAAACATTTATCAATCAATTTACATTTTTGATATTAATATCAAATTAATACAAATCAAAAAATTTATTCGTAATAATAAATTTGGATGCAGTAATGGCTATGCCACAAGTATTAATCAAAGCTAAAAAAATCAGTCACTCTTACTCTGGCCAATTTTTCAGCTATATTAACAATTTTAGTTTACTATTACATAAACAGAATGTTCACTTTGCTGGTTTTGTTGCTGTGTGCCCCATTTGTTATATTTAATATGACAACTAAAATTTATCCATGGGTCACAGCTGTGCCGCTAATAGCTAATACTAATACGAAAATTATTTTCAGCCACACTAGCCATTTTTAACTCACATAATCAAATGTGGCTTTGTTGCAGTACGCCGGGAATGCGAAGTATGTACGATCAATACACAGATTAAAGAAGACTGAAAGTCAAAAGATACAACGTCAACAAGAGTGGAAATGATTGAATCTAATACCGATCAAGACAGAAGCGTCATGTTATCCCGGAGTAGCTTGACATTAGTTTCTGAAATAATCCATGGCTCCGTTGACACAAAAGCACCGCTACTTTTCGGGGGACTGTAATAACGTGCAAGAGTCAAGACAAAATAGTCAGTGAATATCGACTCTTTATATGCACATTGTAAATTACATTATGCTTATGCTGAAAATGCAGCAGAGAATCAGGATGTTAGTGATGAACTCGGGTTTGGCATTTTAGATATTATTCAGCACACTTATCCAGAAAACATACGATTAGCTCCTCCGGTGAAGGCTCTAGTCGACAAATAAATCTCATCGACTTCCATGAACAGGCGGACGTATGTGCATGACTGTGAAATTTCTTGTGGCGATCCCAATGAAGAATAAAGGGACTGCAACTGTCGCAGAACATCTCATCAAGGACGTGTTTAAGATTCCCAAAGTGATAACGGGAAAAAGTTTACTGCAGGGTAATAATGAATGGCCGTCCTCGACATCCGCAGTCACAAGGACTGAACAATCGGTAGATTTACAGTGTTGTTGTTGCGGGACAGTAACAATCAGTTGCAATAGATGTTTTATTATTCAGGATACACAGGAAGATGCGCTTTTGCGTATGACGATGGCAATTACATTCTGCACAAATTCCTGGTATCAACCGACTTGGTGAAATTGAAAGAAAAACCAGAAGTGTGCAGAGGGCTCCGGGGAATGGTCATGCAAGGGATCCGCATTTATGTCGAAGGGATTTTGAGGGAAGAAAGAATGATGGACGTTCTTACGAAAATACGTGAAGAGCAACCATCTAACGCTCCGGATTCCTAGCTAGCTTAATGTAGCTCAAAATTTAGACGCAGAGGCGTATTTAGAGACATTAACGGACTGCTATGATGATGATAATAGTAGTAAACGCTAATCGGACGCGGTTCGTTCTCTCAACGGATATCATCTGTCTGTGACGGATGCTCTTGATGCAACTGAAGATCAGATTTCAAGGTAGCGCGCGTCGGAAAAAAGGGCAATTGAAACCAACTGTCCGCGTACTCGCAAGAGAGAATTACAGTCTACATATTCTGAAGCGGGTGCTTTCAAATGCTTAACATCCGACAACAGATCAACATTACTCAATCAGTGTTAGGCAGGATGTCAGCTGCTGTTTTGACGTGTTCAACGTTATCCGTGCCAATCTCGCCCGCCAATCTCGCTCTAACTCGACGAAATTTCCTATCCAAACCCCCTTTAACTCTCCATTTGTAAGACTCCTTGGGTGCTTCCACCCATTAATCTCATGACTTCAGTTATTGCATTGGAGTATGTTTACTCGATTAGTCTCATCAAAAACACTATAGGCATATATGAAGTGCTCAAATTATCTACTCCTTCTCCCTCTCTTTATTTTACACATACTACCAATCTTACTCTTACATGGTGACCTTGGCATGTACAATAAATGAAAAAAAAAAACCCCCCTCGGAAAATCAAGAAATGCATTGCCTCCATTTTGCTTCACTGGATAAGTTTCTATTTAAATATATTGCCGGTTCAGATCCAAATTGGCGTTTGCAACAAGATCATGATCCTAAGCGCCTTAAATGTTGCGAAGGATTTTGTTACCAAGAATGACATTTGGGCAATTGATTGGACATCCAATAGACGGTACCTCAATCCAATGTTGATGCGATTTTGCAGTCTTGCAAAATCAGGCTATACGACGAGTGTATCATCGATCCTTTAATCCGTTTCTCTGTCTTAGGAGAAAAAGTTCATCCCTATTTGCAATTTTCACTTTCGCATGTCAAATCATCGTTCCCATCAGTATACTCTCCGTGAGATCACATAACCACTTTCTTACTTTTTCACAAGCTGTTACGCAGGGAACTTTCATCCGAGCGTAATTCCCCTACAGTGGATGTACAATCGGCGTACTTGTATACGGATTGAAACAAGTTATATGACGTATATTATGGTTACACATACATACTGTCTGTTACTGTTACTAATACACTTAACGTTAAGTTCAGGTGACATTGTGCACCAAATTTTAGGTCCCGCCAACGCGGTCGAACATAGAAATTATCTTGATCTTGAACGTATTTCTCGACTACAGAATCTGGAGGATGCCGTGAGCAAGCAACAGTAACTTTCAGTCACGGTAATTGACATTATAATTATACTGCAATCAAATTCTTAAGATTAAGATTACTATATTGGAATCCAAATAGCCAGCTGACTATGCCTTGGCTGGTGAACTCCTTTTGGATATCAAGATACTGTATGCCCTGATTCATAACACATTTATTTTTATGATCTTAGCTACATTATATCGCATTATTCATAAAAGACACAGTTGACATTCAAATAGCCAGTTGGCTGGTGAACTCTTTTGTTGTCAATATACCCACCTCACCTCTGATGGCTATTACTATACCTACTCCCCAACTAGTTGTACCTTCATTAGGCAATTGTTCACTCTCAATATGATCTCTACTGAGCTTATTATTATCTGTATTTTGAATACTAGTACTAGGATGAAAAACAATCTCTTGTACTTGGTGTGAAGAGCTTCTGGCAAAGGGTCAGTCAATGGTGAATTTTTATTGATAAGTGACAAGACTATGTATTATCACCAGAAGTGAACGTAATATTAATGTAACCTGTTATTATTATTTGTTAGAGCAAAACCAGACGATGTTACAAGGATGCTATTACTATTACTATTACAGCAAATTCCCATGAATCATTGGATGCTGACAATTACAATATAAATATGCAAACATAAAGTTTTCGCGTTTGCTGTTATCTGTCAGCTGTTTATTTTACAAACAATAGTCTTTTTCAACGTGGAGAGATAATTGGTGCTTGGAAATGTGGGTTAAGTGAAGCAAGGATTGCAGCAATTCTAGAAAGAGCTCCAAGTACAGTCCATGACATTATAGTGGCATTACCATGATAATCAACAAGTAAGGTGGGTATGGAGAAGACCTCACAAAAATATGATGTGAAATGTCTCATACCAACTACAAAGTCTGGACAGGATGGTGTAATGGTATGGGGATGCTTCACTAAACATGGTCTTGGTCCTTTAGTGGAAAGTAAATGATAACAGCTAATACTAATACTAAGGAATATATAGCTGTTTTGCAAAATCACTTGATTCCTTGTTATTATAATTATATGAACACACTTAAAAGTAAGGAAAATCAAGAGGACAATGCTCCTATCCATACTGCAAGAATAGCAAAAAAAATGGAAGGATGAAAATAATGTAATAGTAATAGTAATAAGTCTTCCTTGGCCCACACAAAGTCCTGATATTAATATGTAATATGAACACCTTTGGGATTATAATTACCACAAAGCAAGGAGGACTTATGGCAGATGCTCCAGAAAGAATGGTACAACATTGATGCCAATGTTTACCAAAATCTTGTGGATAATATGCCCATGCAAAGCAAAGGAAATCCTACCAAATACTAATCTTACACTCATATATTTCTAATAAACTATGCTTTTAAATTTGTTTCTCTATCTTTCTCATCCAAATCGAATGAAATTTTGCATATACATATTTCAAAAGATTCTAAACACATTTTGTTAGCAGCGTATTTGATCTCAACACTCTGGTTTTGACTTTACAAATAAGCAAAAGATCGACGAAACTGTTATACTGACTTTAATCGTTTCATGAAGCAGAGGAAATAGAAATGAACATTGATCAATACATGTTACAGAGATATATATAAACTGAAATTGCGAGCAAGTTTAATTAATGCACGAAGTACAGTTTGTATTAGTAAAATTTTTCGTTACATGCGCGCGAATTGTATAATTTACGAAATTTTGTGTTACCCGGTCATTTGTATTATTCAACCCTTGGAGAGTATCAATCTCTTAGACTATATGTGGTATGTAAATATACCTTGCCTTATATCAACTCATTCTAACCAGGGGTGAAGTAGATATTCAGAGCACAGTGGAATGAAAAAATGAAGGGAGAGACTTGTCAAGGAAATTGGACATAATGCAGATAGAGTTATTCGCACGAACAATAATGGTGCATATATGAAATTGGAAATCTATACAGTTCACTCAAGAAGGATTTAACAAAGGCCTGTTTAAATTGAGATGGGATTGGTTTATAAATATAAAGGAGGAAACATGCGTCCAAATGAACTAAAAATTAGTATGCATTCCAATGGTTAGTTGTTTGATATTCATAATCAAGTTTGTCATTTTTCAGGCTTTACTGTCAAGGTTTTGTAATGGAGCTTTACAACCAAAAATACGTCATTAAACCCCCATGGTCAATTTAATATTCCTGCTAATTTTGATGACATTCACTGCTTGCAACGTACAATGGCAGTAGCTGGCAGACACGGAATCTGTTTCTTCCCGCTCGATCTCTGAAATGGAACAAACAGTACCGGAAAAAGGTGATAGATTAAAGAGACAGAAATTGACTGAACTGATCACACTATCTCCACCCAAGAAAGCAAAGTTAGAAAGCTACGTAATGAAGTGGTATAGTGCTGTAACGAATAATTATAATTATAGATAAGAAGTTAATATCACTAGTCACACGTCTACAGATTGTCATATGACTTGGGATCTGCTGACAATAGACTTATCGATACGTTGCGAGTGTAATGGAAACGTAATAATTATGAAATATGAATGCGTTTATTTCATGGATGATGTTAACGTTAGGACGTACGGATAACAAGAAGTTACTCGACTAGCTACATACCTAACCGCAAGGCTGGGGAAGAAATAGTCTGCGCGTTTTAGTAACCATTCGAGTGAATTATTTCAAACCCATTTGTTGTAAAATTAGCCTTGGTAGTATCAAAATATTGCATTTTGTTCTCGATCCTTAAATGCCTCACGTGTTTGATCGACCTCAACCTGCCAAGATGCTACGGTTATTTTTTTGCGTTTCACTGTTAGTAGCAAATTTAAATTTCCGATTAATTGAAATCATATATATCTGTGGCGTTTCAACAGTTTTGGTTGCCCCCAAATGTTATTTACTCCGATTGGATGACATGTTATGCATGTAACATCGAAACGCTGGGCGTCAGTTGTGTCACCTAAATATGATAGGCAGTAAGGTTGGTGTGTGGGAGCGTTTAATAAACATTCAGCGAGATACGAACGCAATTAATAAAACAATGTTAATAAGACAAATATTATACGGAAAGACGGCGAACGCATCATGGTGACAATACAGGAAACTAGCCCAACAGCCCAACAGCCCATAACCCGCTCGCATTCAGGAATACATCCTGGGGGAGGAGTCGATAGTGATCTTCTTTATTATGATTAATAGTGACACAAGTCTTATAGTCAAATATTAGAAATCCCCGATATTATTATGTCATCGTACAATTAGAAATGCCAAGACGTCGTACAGATTAATAAAGAAAACATCAACTGCTGCCGAACATGTGTATTAGGGTGTGTGCATCCCTATTGTATCCGAGATTACTGGTTGTGAGAAGGGTATACGGAGAAATAAATAACAACGCTGATTACTTGATTGTAAAGGTGCCAATTAGAATCGATAATCAATCAGTGTATACGCTTTGTTATTCTTATTAGTATGTTACAATATTCGTAAATAAACTATGATCATACATATATCACTGTTATGGAATATGCAATGCGGACAATCGTCCTATTCGCCGCCTGCTTGCATTTGTTAAAAATCAGCCGTCATCTATAGTTGAATATGCATTACCGTTTTCGATTATGTGGCAGTTACTTGTGGCAGTTGCTATTCTCTCTATCTTATCCATCTAACACACGCACACACACACACACACACACACACACAACACACACACAAACCCCAATGGGATTTATGAAAGATAGTTTTTCATGTTTCAATGTTTATTCTTATATTTCCCCGACATTTGAATGTGTTGTACGAAACTTTATGTAAGGCTGTGGTCTTAATCGAGAACGAATATTGCGTATGCGAGAGGGTACAAGCGTCAAGTTGGGCTAATGTAATCGGAATGGTTTACTCTTTTGGTCGAAGAGTTTTTCCATCTTCCATGTCACTAATCCTTCTGGGTCTACACTAAATCATTATATTATTTCCATTTCGCAACTCAATGACATATTCAATATGTATCAGCATATATTAGCTAAGCACTAACTGTGTACACGAGTGGAACAAATCAGATTTACCAAAGATGCAGTTAGAGTCTGTCTGTATTAATAATAAGCCAATGATGCTGAACACATGACAACTTTTGATGTATCATTCCTCATATTCCCCCCTTCACCCTATTTCTTTTTTCTTTTCTTTCTTGTCAAGAGCTTTATTGTAAATATTTATATTACGAACCGTAATAGTAAACTTTTTTGTATTGAAGTACAGAATAGTAAGATACATCAATGGTGATCACGTGATTGACTGATTGTACATGATTCTAGAACAGTGATTTAGGTATTCGTTTATTTTCGAGTTCACACGTGTTCGAGCTAATTTATCTGCAATACTAAGTAATCATCAACATGTCAAATGAGAGCGGGGGCAGTTCTATGAAAAAAGAACATAAAGAATGGTTTACTTGCAGGAAAAGAACAATTTGTATTGTTCAAACATGACATACTTGTTGCAGTAACTATGTTAGTAATAAGTAATATCGTTAGCAATTGATGATGCTGATCTGCCAAAATTATTAATATCAATAAAATATACTGGGTACATAAAAAAAAGTCGTTGTATTAATGAATTACGTGTTACAGTATAATAACAATGTTCAAGATATTTATTAGAACCAAACACAACTTATTCTCTGGTGCAACCAAAACGGAATTTTACTGATAAATAATCAAACCCCAAAAACGATATGTACCCTACCGCCTATCAGCTTAAAAATATTTATACATTACACACACACAGGAAGGCACTCTTCGACTCACGAGAAAAAAAAAATTGATAGATTTGATACACACACAAAACACTCACGCATTTCATATCCACAACATATAATCCCCTGTTCATTCAGTATTCACGCTGCCGCCTCTCCCCCCCCCCCTCTCCCTCTCCCTCTCCCTCGTACTTGCTCGTTCTTCTCTTTACATTCTTCAACTCCCCTACTGCATTACGCTATAACTTATGACTACCCCATTACGTCCGGAGCAGCCTTATCTGCTCCCAAACGTTTCTAGTGGGTCACCTACACCATATCATTTTGACTCGTCGCTGTATCCAACTTATGCCCAGTACTCGAGACAAGCAACGAACGAGCCATCAAACCACCATATCGCAACAACGCCACCACCAACTAACTCTAATATTGACGAGACTAATATGGCGAATGCAAATAATGCCACTACTGTAAAGAGAACAAGCAAGACCCATGTGCCAAGTGCATGCATTAACTGCAAGAGAGCCCACTTGGCTTGCGATGGTAAGTAACTGGAAATTCGTTTACAACAGAAGAGGCTATCAACTTTGGAGAGCATTTATTATATATACATATAAAGTGATAATACAATGCATCTTTATCAAATATTCATCACGCATCATCTTTTTCTCCGCATCCCTCATTGAGATTTTTCCTTACTCCCACCCCAAATGGCTCATGCTATTCGGAGTAATTTTCGGAAATTTACTCATCCCGAAACTCCCCCCTTTTTTTGTTATGCTTGACATGCAGAGCTAATTTCTATTAGGGAAATCCAATAATTATGATTTAATTACCCGTCAATAATGTCTACCATTTTAAAAAATTACCCGTTTTTTTTTTCATTCAAAATTGTGCTCATCAAACTTTGTTGCATTTACTTCTCAATCTAGTATCACGACCATGCAAACGTTGCATTGCATTGGGAAGAGTGGACACGTGTATCGATATCAAACATAAGAAGCGCGGACGTCCTAAACTCAAAGACAAGAAACCACATCCATATAATACACACGCCACAAGAACGTGGACCAATAATCCACAAATACATCATTTTCTTCCACCTACGACATCAAATTCCATCTCGTCTCCCTCATCGTCCGTCACATCTCCCCCACAATTATCACAAACCTCGCCACCCCAATCATCACCCCCACAAGAACTACCGCAACGACAAACACCACATATCCTACCTCAGCAACTGCAACCTTCTCAACAATACCCGACTTGCATGTCTCCTCCACCTCAAGAACTTTCTCCGCTATCTCCGCATCATCAACGCTCTCCTTCATACATTAAACAACAACCACCACCACCATCATCACGATATGTAACATCTTATCCACAACCAATATTTACATCATCTACATATCCACAAACGCCGCCGTCAATTTCACCAATAACAGAAAATCCTCCAGTTATAATGTTTCTTACTGCTGCAGATATCTGGTGTGCCCGCGTTTCTGATGAATCGTTAGCAATGCTAGGATACTATTCGAAAGAGTTGACCCACAAGCCGCTTCTTGACTATGTACACCCATCTTCCCAAGATAGTCTGCGCAAAATGGTAATGTCTCTTACGGACAATGCAGAAAAATATTACAACCACTATCATGCTCAGACATATTCGCCGTACCCGCCCTCATTTCGTGAACCACCTCTAACCACGCAAGATCCTGGATTCTTTGCTCTTTCGCTTGACGAATTGCGCTATCCAGCGGCAAATGGTGGCTATGCTATTGAGGTCTCTGACATGATATCACTAAGACAGAGAAGCGGCGAATATGATTTGTACAATGTTAAAATGCATTTTGGTGGTGGACTTGGTGGAGATTTATCGAGAAAGGATACGTGGAACAAGTTATATATTGTGGCTTATTTTACCAAGACCAGGCCAGGAAGTAATAATGGAAACACAGGCCGGGTCGCATATGGTAGTAGACCGAATCGAGCGCTTGATATTGATCAGAACAGAGATTATGTACGCAGAGAAACGAACATGGATATACAACAACAGCAACTAATGCAACAACAACAGCAACAGCAACAGCAACAGCAACAGCAGCAGCAGTTACAACAACGTCACCAGCTGCTACAACAACAACAGCAACAGCAGCAACAGCAACAGCAACAGCAACAGCCAGCTTTTCTGGTATCCGACTCTTCCCTCACGAACCACTCTCACACTTCACAATCTCAACATCAATCCCACCAGATCCATTCACAGGAAACCCCATTATCACCTCAAGAATATTCTAGCACATCAGTTGGAATTCAACAATCACATCCTGACATGTACCAACCACATCAAGTACGATCAAGCCTGACAAGCCAACCACACATTCCACGACATGAGTACAAACCCAACCAACAAACACATAATCACCTTGCTCACATTGGCAATATCCAAATACCTCGTTCGCATAACCGGCATAATACATCAAGACACGCATCTAGTGCATACAGCGGCTATATTGATATAGGGCTCATGAGAAGTCAAGAGAGAGACAGTAATAAAGAATCGGGAAGAATGAGTGTTACATCTTTATTGTGTAAAGAGGTGATGGAATAGGGCGGGGGGGGGGGGGGATTGAATGTTCAAAAGGTTTTTGTTATTTTTTTGGATGGACAGTATTTCGATGTAGTTGTATTTGTAGAAAATCGGATAATATGGGTATATAGAGTGAGATTTGTATAATTGAAAGTAAGATATTTATCAACATGTTTTGGGAGGGATTTTGTGTATTATTGCTGTGTTTTTATGTGTTGTGTTTGTGTTATTTTATTCCTTACCTTTTTCTATAATCACTTTGCTAATTATTAATGCACGAGTTCAATTGTTTGTATTAAAAAAATTCGTGTATGTAGATGTGCACATGTTCATATACATTTACACGCACATGACATTTTATATATTGTACGTTTGTTTCATATACCTTCTAATTAGAATGATTTTGTAATTTGAAACCAATCTGTAAATCTAACAAGTTGGCATTCTCTGCCCCTCAAGAAAAAAAAACCATAATTAATAAAATTTTCTCATGCAAGTAATCGCACGGCCACCCAGTCGCTTGTAATACTATAACTGCTGTTTTACTCAACGTTATATGTTTTTTAAAAAAAAAAAGCATTCGATTTTCGCTCGACACAAATGTTTGTATGACTTTGAATGTTCGTTTGGATTGGCTAATTTTGGCTTAGCACAAAGTTTGAAGTAACCCAAGAATACCTGGTTCTACATACAGCACATGACAGTCGAAAGACATAGTCTCGACAATCGAAATGAGGAGGAAGAGTGAAAGGCGAATCGGAGATTTTGCGGACGGAAGATTTTTTATGATTGTCCAAATTTCGGAATGAATGGAAAAGGTATCATTAGTATATATTAATATATATTTATATATTACAGGGGTGATACATTCTGCATTCCACATTAGTTATGACGTTTTCCAGAGCTATCGAGAAGAAATGTGTGACTGACGCAAGATGGGACTCTAACTTAGCCACCCCCGCTTTCTATCTTCAGCCGCACCAGCCAAATTTTGGGACATACTATTTATATTGTCATGTACACACGTGCCAAATTTTTGACCGACTGATGTATGGAATTCCATTACTTATTAACTAGCCAAATGTTCGTTCTAACTAACAAACTATTACTATTGTGATTAGTAACGTATATGAGTGATACACGCAAAATTGAAACTTGAACAATAAGTTGAATTATTGGAAAATTCAATATTACGAGAAACGATAAAAACGCTTCCGGATCGAACCGGATAAAATAAAACCCGATATCCGATTTAAACCACGCGCTATCAATTGTCGGTTTCAATATTTAAATTTGGTTAATATTAAACTAAAACTGACTAAGCGACACTAAAGAGACTCGTTTGGTTATTAATATTCGAGCTTGTGTTGACGATTTCTAAAACACCAAGACGGTCTTGCGGCACAATAATAAACCGAAGATCATATGACCGGATTATTAACGGTGGGTAGGGATTTGTAAAGCATTAGTTATTGGCCAAAATCAGTTTATTAAAAAACTTGTTTAAAATTTTTTGCACGTCTTCTCTGTCAATTAATTCCATATCTCTCTCCGTAACGCGTAAAAATATTATGCGCACTTTAACATTATATGCAACTTTATGTGTTCTTGCAAAATTTTTGGTTTACAGTTTAGAGTGGTTTTATTATTAATATTAATATCAGGTCTAGCGAGGTAATGTTTCTATATGTGAAATAACAGGGGGAAAACTACTCTAAATTAATTAACGGCGCATTCGGATTAACATGATTTTGAGTAAGACTGTTTTGTACGTAATATTCAATGTCTCGGTCAATAGAATGTTAACTCTTGTCTCTCAGGTATTCTTTAATATAACAATACGCACCTTGACGAGACTTTGTTTATACTCGAGAAAAGAAAAACGATCGAGTAAAGCTAAAACTGTTGACAGCTCTTTGTAAACCAAACCTCCTTTGCATTTTGGTAAGACAAAAATTATGCAAACGAAATACGAGCGGTATTATTATTGTTATTATTATTATTATTATTATTATTATTATTATTGTTATTATTGTCCATAAAATTAAAATTAATATTCATAAAATCATAATTGTCATAACTGTTATTCACAAAGTCATAATTGTTATTATTTATGTCACAATTGTTAATAAGCATAGTTATTATAATCATAATTATTTGTAATAAATAATTACGATTATGATATGAATAATCTGATTATTGTCTAATTGTGTACATCGGGTACGTTAACGGTAAGTACCCTGTGTCATTGTCGTCATTCTCAGCTGGAATAGTATCTTCAATTAGCGGGTTTCTTCGATACATGTTATGCGAGTTTTAATTATACATCTTCGTTCAATCGGGAGCCCCGTAATGTGACTTGCTACGAGCGGACACGGATTTGTTATCCCGTCTATTTTCCTCGCTAACGTAACCTCGCCAATTTGTTGTCACTAAGCATAACTTGTTATAAGTTAAACCGGACTTTACTACGACCCGAAAAAGTCGGAACACATTCTTTGCATGGTGTATGAATGTTTTGTTAGGAGTGAATCGTTGTCTCGGTTCAATTGTTATTTCAGGGTTAATTGGGTGTTTGCTTTGCAGAAGCAATAGGCGTGAGCAGAAAACATACGTCTTTGGCTTGACAATATGTTTTAACATTGGCTGCCGTGTAACATTCAAAATGTCACCTCAAGATTCCCGAATAAAAATTATGTCATGTGATAATAATAACCCCAACTTTACAAGAACAAATTTCTAAAAAATGTCATATACTCTGGGAATCAAGAGCAAGTTTCTTGACAAGCTTCGACGACTTCTCACCGTGGTAAGTTTGAATGCGAGTGCCGGTTATGGAACACTAGTTTGGTGGACTTTGCTCTTGCAGATCTCATCGGTTTCTTTTTTGGACAAATAGAATCCTGATGCGAATTCTGGCATTCCATTAACTGGAACTTATCGTTTACCGTCTCCTGGGTATGATAGCACAACCATTATACGCTTGTCGCATAGATTCAATGTCTGACATTTGCGGTTAATTTGTTAGTTCCCAGCCACCAACATACAAACATGCAAAGACGAAGCATTCAGATGTAGCGCAAAACTATTATTACACTCGCGATACCAGGCGGAATTATCCTCAAACGGAATTCTATACTCAAAATGACATTGCCGGTTTGATTGCGGCAACAAATCTTAAAAGGTACAACAAAGGCCCAAAACAAAACATAATAACTGTGTATTGTCTATGCACGAAACTCACTGTCTAATGCGAATCTCTGATAGCATTGCGAGCGGTAAAGAGGGTGAATCAACACAGATAGCCAAACTGCCAGAGAAGCTGTCAATAACGGAAATCATAGCCTCATCGCCAGAGGCCTTCTATTCTGAAAACAAACTGCCACCTGTTCCAGGTAAATCCAGGCACGATTGGAAACAGTCCCCAGAACAAGAGAAAGCAGATCCAGGTATGATTTTTATTTGTAAAATCGGGCATATGTGTCATTGTTGTACGGCGATTTCCTGATTATTATTTATCTTGTAGACGTGTATTGGCCGATGAGACTAGTCTCATGAGCTTTCGACACACCATATGATCGAATTTTTTGGTTATGAACTTGTAGAATGACAGTATGTTGCTATAATAACAAGCAATAATGTCTTACGATTTCTTGAAGGAGAAAATTTCCTGATTCAAGGAAAATTAAACATAGTCATCGCCTAAATACTATTAAATTCTTGTTAAACAAACAGCGTAACGATCATTTTCAGTGATTCGTGATTTGTGAGAACGGCGATGCGAATTGAAGTGGTGATGTGTATTGTATTGGTAGCCTCATGTGCAGATTGACCGCAAAAGCAGCATACAAAAAGAGCCCTCTCCATGCCGTTTTGAAACGAGTCTTTACATAAAAAAATAACGACATTAAAAGTAACAACATTCTTAACATGGTTGTACTAAATCACGTGTTTTCAAACATTTCTTTAAAATTTTTGTCAAAGTTAAAAGTGTATATCATTGCTTTTGAGCAAAGACATTTGAGATCTTGGCCGTATAAAGAACACTCAAGTTCTGCGTTTGTCCACCGTTCTCTTGAACTCAAGCACATAACCAATATTTCGCTCTACAAGCCTACCTCTAATAAACATTACCAATGAGCAGTCGTTTTTTTCGCGGAGGTTCAGAGTCGGAGTCGGAGTCGGACGATTCGCTGACTAGTGATGAGGAGCTTTCGGAAGACTTATCCGAAGAAGAATCCGAAGATGAAACCGAAAGACAACCCGCAACGACCGGAGCAAAAGGCCGATTCTTACGCAACACTGCGGTATCCGATTCGGATGATTCAGCGGATGAAGTAAAAAGGGTCGTAAAATCGGCAAAGGACAAGAAATTGGAGGAGATCGAGACATCCGTGCGTTCAATTGAAAACGCGATGAAGATTAATGACTGGGTTGTTATCTCCACTGGTAATAATTTCGTGTTCACATGATGCGAACATTAGTCGTTTAAGCACGCATCACAATTAACGTGATTTGTCGCTATATTTGCTTTACAGAATTTGATAAATTGAATAAAATTTTGGCGAAAGGCCCTGTTAGCCCAAAAGGCCCGCCACGTCTTTATATAAAGACAATTGCTGAACTTGAAGATTTCCTGAACGAATCATTGCAAAAAGAAAAGGATGCCAAAGAGAAAGATGCCAAAAAGAAAATGAACGCCATTCAAGCCAAGGCCATGGTTACCATGAAACAAAGAATTCGGAAGAATAATAGGTTATACGAGGATCAGATTGCTAAATGGAGAGAAGTATGTTTGTTTGTTTAATCGATTCCACCATCCATGCTCCGGTATCTATACAAGCGATTGAGTTTATAATATATTTTTGTATCATATGTTAACGCAGAATCCCGTCGAAGAAGCCGAAGAAGAGGAAGAAGAAGTAGAGGAAGTGCGCGAACCGAGTCGAACGGATAAAAATTTCCACGAAAGTACCGTAGACTTAATAGAAGACACTCCGGAAAGCTTGTTTCGGCGATTGAGAGAAGTGTTGGAGGCTAGGGGCAAAAAGGTAAATTTTTGGGTTGTCATCAAGGATTATTTTATTGGTAATGCTTAATACTCACATGTTTATCAACGTTTTCCTAGAACACAGATAGGCTTGAGCAAATCAAGACACTTCAGAAACTCTTGGAATTTGCTAATACGCCGTATCAATCTATCCGCGTTCTGCTCGTTTTAATTCCTTGTCAATTTGATTACAACCCTAGTATGACCGGTTATACATCTATTGAAATGTGGAAAAGGTGTTATTATTTGGATGAACTGAATATGTTTGGATTATATCGTAGACCATGCATGCTTATTAAATCTGGTGTACGTCTTTCTTTTTCGTTAAAGTACCTTGAAGCAGATAAATCAGTTATTAGCGATTTTGGAAAATAATCCACAGTTTGTAATACATGAAGATGTTGATGAAGAAGAAGCTGACAAGGAACCAGTGCTTGAACCTGGCAAGACGTACGGAATCCGTGGATCTATTGTCTCATACATTGATCGTCTGGATGATGAATTTACAAAATCGCTACAGAATATTGACCCGCATACAACGGATTATGTTGACCGATTGAAGGATGAGACTGAATTGTATTCTACGATAGTGCGCGGACAGATATACTTTGAACAGCATGGATTGGATGATGGTACCAGTCGAGTTGTGATGCGAAGATTAGAACATTTGTATTATAAGGTGCGTCGTAACCTTTACAGCCAGTATCTTTTACATTCAATTAACCAATGTCTATTTTTTTTTTTTCACATAGCCTGATCAAGTAATTCAAACTGTTGAAAGTTTGGTCGCAGAAGGTCTCCCTAACGAGTTAAGGTCGGAAATTACTCCACCCTCAGTCACAAATGATTCGACTGACTTGATACACGCACTCTGTGTATATCTATATAAGAAAGGCGAGTCTCTTCTACGCACGCGGGCTATGCTGTGTCACATATACCATCATGCTCTTCATAATAGGTTCTATACTGCACGTGATATGTTATTGATGTCACATTTGCAAGAGACCATCCATCAAGCAGATGTTGCAACCCAGACTCTACACAATAGGACTATGGTACAGGTCGGATTATGTGCATTTCGTGAAGGAATGATTAAAGAGGCGCAGAGCTGTCTTCAGGATATTTGTGGAACTGGAAGGACAAAGGAACTACTAGCACAGGTCAACTTTCAACATTTTATGTACTATAATAGATAGATTAATTAAGTGTCTGCAAATCGGTAATCTCAGCATAACAGTCTATTTTCTCGGCTTTGACAATATAGGGCTTGCAAATACAAAAATACTCTCAACTTTCTCCCGAACAAGAAAAGTTGGATAGACAGCGTCAACTACCATTCCATATGCACATCAATCTAGAATTACTAGAATGTGCCTACTTAACGTGTTCTATGCTATTGGAGATACCCAGTATGGCTGCTGCGGGTTCTAATCCGGAAGCAAAGAAGAAAATAATAAGTAAACCGTTCCGAAGATTATTAGACTACAATGAGAGACAAGTTTTTAGTGGTGAGTAGGGACGCTTGAATAATTCAATGCTATGTGCAACGCTATCTATTTCGAACATTTACACCTTTTCTTTATTAAACCTCAAGGACCGCCCGAGAATACAAGAGATCATATAATGGGAGCTGCCAAAGCACTTGCTGCAGGTGAATGGCAGAAATGCCAGGAACTTATCTGTGCAATAAAGATATGGGATTTAATGCCGGGAACATCCAAAATTAAGGAAATGCTCTGTCGAAAAATACAAGAAGAAGGCCTCCGTACATATCTCTTTACGTATTCAGCCTATTACTCTACTATTGGGCTGGACCAGTTGGCAACTATGTTTTCTCTACCGGGGAATACGGTGACTTCAATCGTATCAAAAATGATCTGGAACGAGGAACTGGCTGCATCATTGAATCAAGTAAACAATGTCGTTGTGCTACATCGAGTTGAACCTACCAAAGTTCAACAGCTAGCGCTGATGTTTGCTGAAAAAGCGGTTGCATTTGTTGAAGCTAATGAGCGAGCTCTTGAACAAAAAGTGCAAAGTGGACTAGTTAATCGTGATCAGCGGCCCAAAGGTAAGTCGATTGCAGATACTTGTAAAAATCTGTTACATTAATCATACTAAATTTCTTGCGTATAATATAGGTCAATCCAACCAAACTCGTCAAAATTCAGAAAAACATACCGCATATCAAAAGGGTAGTGGACAACAACAACGAACTCGAAACAATTTCAACAATGTCTTGGGCAATAGCGTGCGTGGTCGAGCACAGCAGAGTCGATATCGGGCATAGTGAGTTAATATCTAGGTGATCGCGATGAATACTCGAAAGATTATATAAGACAATCTAATAGATTTCTACCGATATATAAAAGTAGTGTTTTATATCACGATACTAACATTGTAGCCGCTTCCTTTGTGTATTAATCTGTATTCCTATTAATTAACCAATTTGGCGTATGACAACAAGCTTGCCTTCAGAATACTCTTGTACAAACAAAGTACTAAATTGAATATTGGCATCCATATCAGTAGGCATGATTCATGTAACTTCCCAATAGAGATAGGCATCAAGAGTTTTTTGTGGATTAGTCGAGTATTCACCAGACTCACGGTTTTCGAGCCAAGAGCTAAGTTAAGATGATAGGGAAACATCAAAGAAACTAGAAATATTTTGCAGATTTCAACGAAAATGCTGACAAAACTACACCACAAGTCGACATCTGTGCAGATGTCAAGTGAAACTAGATGTTCGCTAAAAAAGCAGCAGCTCTAGCCATCAGCTTGTTCAATTGCTTTCGATAATTAGCTCTAAGCAATCAGAATTAAACCTTAATCCGTCTATTCTGAGACTCACATGTGGAGCACAAAAAAAAAACTTGCATCCAACAGACGTCATGTATTAGACATACTTGTAAACTCATATCTCCACTAACGCTAGTGAAAAGCCATTGCTTTATTTTTCAATTATACATGGACTTTTTGCAGCTTATTGTTCATTACTGTTACTGACACATGATGTAAAGATGCAATGCGGAAAAGTGCACTTTCTCGTTAACTCCCCGTGATGTAGTAAGGTGTACCCCTGAAAAAAGAGGTCTAAATCTGTTTCCTTACTGATCCTCAATCATGCGACCTTTCAACTTTCGATATTTGGGCACTAAAACGTGAAATATTTTTATTGGATGACGATGTGGTATGTTTCTGCAAGAACAAATTGGCGCCCGGTTTTAGAATGTGTATATGGTGTCTGCTTTGATCCAAGAAATAATATTTGCAATCGCCTCTGCAATAAATAGTATGGAACCCTGATTTCGAAAAAGAAGGACATGAAATCACTCAAACCAAAACACAGTTCATAGTTAAGCCTCGAGTAAGTAAAGCTTTCCCTTGAATTCATGTAATAAATCTTCTCAAAAAAAAATAAGCTAACTAAATTTTTTATTGTTAAGAATTTGGGGTAGATTTCGGATGATCGTCATTTTGTACTCGAGCCGGGGGGGTTGTATTTGTACCGAGTCACATTAGGCCGATACCCCCACACACTTTCTCTTTCTGCGTACACTTTCAACGTAGGCTCAAAAATTGTATCCAAAATATTCCCGTTGCGTTGACATCATATAATGGCCGAGGAATTCACTTACGAAGAATTATCTACTCGTAACACAAAGAAATCTCTATACATCAGTATTCAAGGAAACGTTTATGATGTGTCGAAATTTATTGATGAGGTTTGTTGTTAATTTTGCAGAAAAGAGAAAAAGAATGATAAAGCCATAACTCATTTCAATACCACAACAACTCAAACTTTTTACTCCCCTGGAAATTAATCAAATCATGTACTTGGTACCTTTTGTAACAGCATCCAGGTGGAGAAGAAGTTCTTCTCGATGTAGCAGGTAAAGACGCCACAGAGCCTTTCGAAGATGTCGGCCATTCTGATGAAGCTCTTGGTATCCTAAAAACACTGATTGTTGGTAAAATGAAGCCAGTAAGTGTAACAATTAATGAATACTCTGTTGATAACATTCGGCAGTTCTTTGTTTGTACAAGAGTATTCTGAAGGCAAGCTTGTTGTCATACGCCAAATTGGTTAATTAATAGGAATACAGATT